GGACTGCGAGGTCTCTCGAGTGAAGACTGCCAAACGGCGACGGAAAGAGGATTCGAATTCGCCAAGGGAGGATCCATTGCTCGACATCACTCGAGAGGAGCCTCAGCGTGAGCCAGTTATCAATCAGAGTTGCAATGTACCAAGATCACCTCGAGAAGATGGGGTAGAGAGATTGTATGGAGTGTTGATATGAAGCACGTTCTATTGTCAGATTCCTAACGTGATAGTGCCACAGTTAGTGCCATCAATGACGCCAGAATGCCGGATATCAGAGGTGAGAAAACTTGAAAGGTTATAATTTTATGGTATATCAACATATCAAAGACATTACGATTGAATATGGAAGGTCCGGCAACCCGGAATCGAACCCGAGCCCATTCGATAGCTAGTGTACTACAGTCGTCCCCTCTACGGTCTGAACCGCTATTGCCGGTTGAATTTCGGGTACTATTTTCTTTACTATCGAGCGCGATTTTTGGTGATCAGTGAAATACGTTCATATAAAGTTTCCGACAACGGCTGGAAGATTCTGTCCGCATAGTGTCGATGGCCCTCCTTCCAGGCCCCCTCACAGGACCTGTCCGGTGAATCAGTGTTGCTCGACTCAAGCAGCAGCAGCAGCAGCATTCACGGGCTCAGCAACGAGGCAACAATAACATTATCGAATAGTAGCTCTTGGATCACTGAAGAGAGTTTGGAATCATGTCGCATCTCACAAACATCGTAAGGATTATCATCGGCAGCGAACGACGAATTTGAGCATCCCCTCCAGATCTAGTTATCTAGTACGCATTGCAAATCCTCGGGACATCACCGCCGATAGTGAGCTGATACAGCCTCTCGGTGAGGTTTGTTCTCATTGGACTCTGAGTGCATAGGTCCCCTCTCTATCCTTGACACAGGGATGATTATGTCGCCCAGTAGTTCTCCAATTGTTCCTAGTCGGGCAAGCAGCGAGCTCACGTGGCCTGAAGTAATCACTGCTTAGGCACTTTGCTCTTCAACTGTCTGGTTTCAGGCACACTTCAGCGCTCATACCAGCTCGAATCTGAGTAGTGGTTGAACTAGCTTGTGTGTGTTCATCGTTCCTCATGCATTTCCGAAAACACTCTACTGCGGTGTGCTCACTTCGTGGGCGAATATTATGGGTTGTGTTTAGTACAGCGATCCCTGAACTGTAATAGGCTCCTAGGACCTTCCTCCATACGTTCTTATGGTCAATCGGGGACGCTTGAGTGCTGGCGTAGCAGCTGATCTGGCGGCGGCGGGTGAACAGGACTCCTCAGAAGAGGTGAATTCTTGGTGTCCATTCGAATGATATATAACAGGTCATTGGTTGCCATCACCGTTCAGGCGCCTCGGCCAGACCGACCCGAGTTGGGATCAAACCCTGTAGGGCCGGAACAGGAAGCCACTCGACCGCAGGTTTGGGCAGTCTAGTTCGGGGTGTCTTTGCTATTCAGAGGCTCCCATTGCTTAGCGTGATTGGAAATTTTTCGGCACGCCCGTTAGGTGGAGTCCCGCTGATGGTTACAACAGGTACGAGAACCCTCAGTGTCTCCCAAGCGGCGTCGAGTTGACAGTCCGAGCAGAGGACCTTTAACACGTTCACAGACTGGTAAGAAGGTGGTGACACTCATTACTGCATGAGTTGTTAGGCCCAGTCTTCCAGAAGGAATCAGTTCGACAGCCTCTCACACGCGTCAATACAGTCATGGGTGGCCGGTGAGTTGTCTCGATGATCTTCACCGTATGGGAATGCTTTTCCAGGCTGCCTGTAGCGCAGACGAGCCTGCGGCACGGGATGAAGGATGTCACTATTAAGATGGCAACGGTGAGGCTACGCTACAGTCGTGTTCTCGTGCGATGGTGGTGACTCAGGGACCCCACGAGGATCAGGAGAACCTGCCGCCGCCCAATGTGAATCGCTCATCGATGGGCTCGTTAGAATCGGTGTGCTTATCGGACGGAAAGGAAGGTGGGTGGGTGGTTATCTCGTCACCTCAGAAGGGAGGGCGCTGTCTTTGCAGTAGTGAACCTTGGCGATGACACAGTAGAGGAGCCGTTCTCGTTGGAGGGCCAACAGGAGGAGGTGCCTCAACCCGGCGTTGCTACACTCAGTTGAGCTTCTGGTCAGTCGCCATCACCTATTCTACAGCAGACCTCTCCAGAGGCGCACGCCTATCGATCAGAGAGGCCAGGTCATGGAGATGATCAAGTTGGTCGTGGAGTGGTATAGGAATGACAGTGTGCGTTATCAGGTGTCCTCAGTGAGGAGCATGGCCCCGCAAGTGGATGTGACGGCCAATGGTGACACTGAGCCCACCGCCTGGGAGTACACAACCGGTGCCAGGCTACGTGGTGAATTGATCTGTCCTAATGTAGGTACAGCTTTGCGGCTCCGGAAGGCGGCCACAGTATCGCTCCGACTCCCTATAGGACTGTGACGGGTGAGTGCTGTCTTTGGGTGGGCACTACTTACGAAGTGGTGATGGCGTGGTATTGGTACGCCATATAGTTGAATAGTTACCGTGAAGAAATCATTCGAAGGAGTAGTGATGCATCAACACTGATGATTCCAGCCTCTTGCTGTGCAGGTGTTGGTCGAAGTGAAGAACTTTCCCGAACACAGTCTTGTCGAGGCCGGCCTATATCGCAGGTCCTTACCAATGGGGGCTCTCAAGGGAATGTATTCGGTGTTCTCAGGTCCCCCCGATAATACAGCAACACACATCGGCAGAGTTACACCGACCCTACAGTCAGCCCCAGACTGAATGTGTCCAGAATTACCACCCTCCAGTACTCTCGTCTTTCGGCCCGACGGTATCATCATCACCCTCTACTTTCAGGGGCATGTCGGGGATAATGTTACTTCGTGGGATACTAGACCAGGGACTGCTGAAACGTGAGAGCTATTCACTCGTGTTGAATCATCAGCGCTGTGCTCTCCGCAGAGTTGACTACCCGTCGTTCAGTGGGCAACCGTCGCCACAAGTCGATGGTGAGGCCGGATGAGGGGGCTTTGTTGTGATCGGATTGTAGGTCTACACGAACTCCAGGGCTACAGGTCGGATACGACAGATGGTGCACAGCAGGGGCCTTTTGCGGCGACTCGAATGGTGGTCCTTTGAGGAGTCCTGTAGCAACCCATCATGTGGTGATTAGGCTACTCTCCGGTCGGGGGTATCATCCTACAGCTATTATGCGGATATTCTCACTGCAGTGAGTTGGGAGGGGGAGGGCGTGTAGACTATAGCAGCAGCTCATATGGGGCATTGTAGAAGTAGACAGATATGAGCTGTACGAATGACAGTACGCTTGTTCGATATTCATCCCCAGAGTGATACTTTGTAGACTGGAAGTTCGTAGACGGTGGATGTTGTTGAAATAGACAGGGCTACGAGAGGGATTCAACGCTTTCGGTTGTTTTTGGAGGAGTTACTCATTGAGGTTTTGTGGAGCTGCTCGATGAGCTTGGTTTCAGATCGCCACACAGCTTCCTCAGCATCAACAACAACAACAACAACAACCTCAATCTAGGGTGCCTATTGGGCCGACCTATGCTGGGGTGATGAGGTGTAGGGGCTGCTGCTGTTGATGTCTATTCTCCCTTTGCAGACCCATCAGCAGGGTAGGGTCGAAAGTGGTCACCTGGGCTACACACAGGCCGGGTTGGCATCGTCAACTTGGGGTTTACCACCGACCGGGACCGTCACCCATACGGATGTGCTCGCAAGTGAGCTAACGATAGGAAGTCAGTTATCAGGAGTGATCTGAGATCTAGCAGTGGCGCTCTCGCAGTGCCTTTGAGAGTTATTCCAATTACGTAGCATAGGCTGTGACTCAGTTGCTCGACCAGCTGATGCAGATTGCCGTTTTAGACACAACTGGGTGGTCACTCTGATGTATCCCTCCTAGGTATTATGAACAGACCACCAGGGCGGGCCAGACTGGCAGATCTACCTGTGAGTAAGGATATGGTTGGAATTGCAGATATTGCGGAGGTGAATATTGACTTGTGTGGGAATCGAACATGGATGCTTTAGAAACTCGGCAGCATCATCGGCAGGCATCTCCCAGGAGACGCCTATGACTACCACGTCTACGTTGAGGCTTTCAACAAGTGAGCTCCGACTTGTATCATGCTGAGCTCGCCATCCATCATGCCTTCAGAGTGGTTGAGAGTGTTCGCAAGGAGTATCTCGCGGCGGCCAGTAGAGTGAGCCTGTCAGCAAGTCATCAGGCCCTGCTAGCATTCACAGACAACACGGTGCGCTCAGCAGCTAGGTCGAAGTGGTTACGGAGTCCTAGTAGATCGTAGCCTGGAGGGAGGGGAGCATTCTTGATATCTTCACCAAGTGCAAGCTGTTGCGCAAGCAGGCCCGGATGGAACTCAACTTTCGGGGTCTAATCCGACCGAGTCAGGATACTGTTGCTAACGTGGTGAGTAGAATAGAAGCCCTAAGAGGAGTGGTAGCAGGCAAACAGGCCTTATTGGTGAGTGGCAACGTGTAGTAGTCCAGAAGATTGATATCCCGTGCTTAGAACAAGCTCCGCCAGGAGAGGGATACCTGCTGTGATGGTGCATGCACGGTAGAGGATATAATAGAGCGCGAGGCAAGGACGTCTTCATGACAGTAGATTAACACGTTGTTCAGATTCAAGCGTATAAGGCAGCCTCTGCAGATGAGGAGCCATCACTGAAGCCATCGTATGATCTGTTGTTTGAGTTGGGGAATCGATGGGTTCATATGGTAAGTCTGCTGCTAGCCACGTCTTGACAGCCATCAGTTGAGTATTGGTAGGAGTTTATAACCGAAGGAGAGCGGACAAGGGGCGAATGGGAAGACCCTGGGGACGACTTTGAGGCCTCCAACTTGCCTACTGCGGTGACGCCTGATCTCAGTCGTGATGATGGGGCCACTCCTATGCGTTCACGTCGAGCCCGAAAGAGTGTTGGGAGTGTGGCCTCGATAATGGCCATGAACTGTGGCTCGTGCGAATTCGCCAGCTGAAGCTTTTTGAGTGTTGCTATGGTTAATTGCCAAATACTTGCATGATAATTATTGATCATTTCCCCATTCAGGAGGTCGAAGTTTGAGTCAATCACATGTTCGAACTTCTCGCGTTTCAGACGTGTATGCCACTTCATCCCTCCTGTTGTTCACATGGGTAGCAATGCCCTATAGTGTCCAACTCTATAACACAACAATATGCATTAACAACAGCTCACACACATATCGTACCAGTGTACAAAGGTTTACCACCTAGTTTAGATCCAGTCGACTGAACATCATGTGATATCCAAAAGCAAGCAATACGACAACTCACCTTCTTAGTCGCCTCACCATACGGCGCTGTGGCGGGCCTAGTGGACGAGTCAATAGTAGAATTCTCAGGGACCTAGAGTAAACACCCTATACGTTGTGCTGGTCTATGAGGT